CGGTTTGTTCTTACCCAGCTCTCCAGCCTCATCTTGTCTCACTTTCAACCCTCACTGGGCTGGAACCTCCACAGTTTCCTTCAGTTCCCAGAATGGATCCAAGTCTTTGCTGCCTCCAGACTTTGGCACACGCTTTTCGTTTCCTTAGAATTCTCTTGACCCCACTTTTCATGTGACAGACATATGTATCCTTCATGTGTCAATTTTAGCATTCCTTTCTCAGGGAATCCTTTTTAGATCATCCAGTCTAAGGTAGGTCTTCCTTATTATTTTCTCCCAGAGTCCATGGCCCTATTTCATAGCAATTTGCACTTTTAAAAAAGTTTACACATATTTGTTTCCTTTTAACCACCTCTCTCACCCACTTGGTTGTAAACTCTATGAGGGCAAGGATTATGTCTATTTAGATCTCCGCTATGTACCTGGTGTGGTACTGATTAAATACTTTTTAATGATACTGAGAAGTTAAACTTGCCAAGCATTTTGTAACCTACAAAGGTTTTTCACATATATTCTCAATTGATACTTATAAACACTAACAGAGATATTTCAGGCAGAGTGGATATTAGTATTTCTATTTTATTGAAGGTAAGGTTAGGAGAGTTTAACTGACTTGACCAAGTTTACACAGCTACTGGGGACTTGCCTGTGAATTCAGGTATTTTAATCATTTAGACCAAAGCTCTTTCTTCCAGAATGAGACAGTAATGGGAAATCCCTGTGAATACAGAGTAGCAAATAGTGTGCCTTAGAAAGAATCTTGCAGTCTTATGCCTATACTATTTACCTTTCATTTTTATTTATGCTATCCATGATTATTAGCTTAATTTCCTATAGAGTGATAGCAGAAAAACAGATCCAATTCCTTGTTATTTATAAATACAAAAGGTAAGCTTAAGCCACTGGCTGAACTGAATGGAGGTAGAATGTATTTTAATTTAGAAACCTGGTCTTATTCAGAGTCAGAATGAATATATTGCTAATCTCAAGGACCAGTTGCAAGAGATGAAGGCAAAAACCAATATGGAGAATCACTATATGAAGAGAAACTCTGAGCTGCAGATTTCCCAGACCCAGAAGAAATGTAACAAGACAGAGGAACTATTGCTGGAAGAGATCGAGGTAATCAGGGTACATCAGGCATGAGCCGGCTAAACACTACCTCCGTGAACAAAGGGGAGGAAAGCGAGGTTGTTTTGATTTTTGCGTGCTCTTTCCCGCAGCCCTAACATTCGAGATTAAACACAAAAAAACGGAGCGAGGAATTGCACACTGGCCAGCAGAGATTCTGATGGGTTGCAGCCTTTATCTCCCGCTTTTTCGTGATGACTTAGACAGTCGGTTGACCTTTCTTCCCGTGGTCACTTTATCTTATAAACTCATTTGCCATTTCTCCTGGTATATAGAGGGAGGGCAAAACAAGGTACCTATTTCTACCGGCAGGTTTTCGCTGCTGCTTTCCTCACCCACCCGGTACCTTTTATCCCTCCACTAAGAAATGCTGAGAGGTGACCTTCAGTCAAACCTAAACTTACAGAGAAGTCGCAATAAAAAATATCAGGAGAAAGAAACAAGGGGTAGACGCTCACTGGGAGGAGAGATGAGCGGCTGAAAGAACAATAGGGAGGGAGAAGGAGCGAACTTTAGTGGGGCTGCCATCTGTGTGCAGGACTCCTTTCTCTGAGCCCCCGCTTATCTGAAAGCTTACCCCCCCAGGTGTGGCTTAGGAGCACGCCAGCAGTTTTTTCTTGCAGTCGGAATTTCCTTGTGTTTCCAGCAACCTCGGGCCCTGCAAGTATTGTTTCACTCTTTAAACTGACATCACTTTCCAGGCAGCGGGCTTGTGGTCCTTAGTTCCGGGCACTTGCCTGTATCTAGCACAGCGCCAGGCGCACGGCTCTGCCCTGTGTGGGAGCGTGAACTGAATGGAAGGGAGCTGACCTGCCGCTTGGGGAGCAATACCGAGGAGTTCTTGGGAGCCCAGCTGGTAAAGAAAACCTGGGCTACTGTCACAGCCACAACTCCAATCCGGAGAACGTCTCCTTTCCAACCCTGCTGGGAAGAAGTCCTGAGGTTGGTTTTATTGTTCTCATAGAAACTACGGTTAAAAACTGAAGAGGAGAACCGGGTTCACATGGACATCGAGATATTCCTTCGGAAGGAGCAGCAGGTGGGTCACCAAAACTTTTTTACTCTCTGATGTGTTTGTTTTCTATTTACAAAATGCCAAGGACAGCAAAATAATTCTTTTAAAGGAAGAAAATCAGCCATAATTCTACCAGTCTAAAAAATGAGCTGTACCCCGTTTTCTTTACAAGTTAACCATCTGAATATTTTATAAAGCTGTAATTTGGATATAGGTAAAATTTTGTCCTCTGCCTCTATCATTTAGCATTACATAAGAAACTGTTTCCTGTTCCTTTATTTTTTCACAGTTAGAATTTTAAAACAAAATTTACTGGTGTTTTAAATTATAAAAATAACATTCTTAGTTGAGGTAAGATTTTTAAGAATTGCCAATTGCATTCAATATATTTTTAAAGGTTATCACAGTGTCTTCATAAAATAATTTAGAATAGTTTTGTAATGTTCCATTGAATGGTTCTGCCATAGTTTGCTGGTTACCCTTTATTTTTTATATTTAGGTTATTTCCAAAGTTTCATCATTATAATGCGGTAATGACAGTTCTGTCCAAATCATTATTTTTCTTCATTGCAGTTATTTACCAAAGTAAATCTCAAGCATGAGATTATTATGTCAGACAGACTGATATTTTGTGACTCTTGATAAATATTGCTAATACTTTCTAATTTACATGGCCATCAGCAATGTATGCCAACACCGATTCCAAGGTATCCTCAACAGCACTGCCATTTTAGATATTTTTAAAAGCCTACTATTTTAGTGGATTGTTTTATTTTACTTTTTTTTGCTAATAGAACTGATGTTTTTCCATATATTTATTTACTCATTTCATTTCTTCTTGGGTGAGTTGTATGTGATGAAATGGTTTTAATTAGTATTTCCAATACTAATTACAAACCAAATTGAGTGGAGTCCTAAAAAATATCCCTATTGGGTAAATAAGGAAAAATTTTCCCACTTAGTCATGATACAGCCTGCCTTTGAGAGAACTAATGAATTTTCTGTAAACAATTCCAATGTGTAAAGAAAAGAATTTATAGATGCTATCTCATAGGCCTTTTACTGAAAAAAGTATCTGGTAGTATCAGGGTTCTGTATCCCTGCAGTTTAAAGATTATGTATCATTTTACTTGTTTCAAATGTTAGATGCATAGCAGGTATTTGATAAGCTTTGATAACCAGATAAGTTGGATAAATGGATGATGGATAGATGAAGTCAGTGTTTTCCATATCTTCCACCCAATAACACAAGCAGTACAGAAACACTTTTCGATGAAAACTTTGAAACTAAAAAAATATATAGATTTTGAAAAATGAAAACTCTCTGAATCACTCTCCTCTCCAAGGACTTCCTCCACATCATTTTCTTTTCATATACATACTTGTGTGTGCACCTAAATACTAATGTGTTGTATGTATGTGTGCATTTACTTATATTTGTGACATATATGGAATCATACTATCTATATTGCTCCAGACCCTGTTTTTTTTTTTTTTTACTTAGTGTGTCTTTAATGTTTTCTATATAATATCACATATAGGGGACATACCAAAATTTATTTAATCTTTCTTCTGTCAGTGGCCATTTAGGTTGTTTCCAAGTTTTGCTGTTATAACAATGCTAAATATTCTTCGACATGTCTCTTAGTGCATGGTATACGGAAAGCTGTCCATTTTTGTATATTGTTCTAGGTTCCTTTTGTCCTCTCATACTCATTTTAGTGGTTTTTCAGTTGATTTATTCGGACTTTCTAGGTAGAAAATCTTATTGACTACAAATAATAATTTTATATTTTCCTTTATATTATTTATATGTATATTTCATTTTTGTGGTTTGTTGTATAGACAGAATGTCAAGTGTCATGTTGGTTAGTGACTTCATCCGAGGAAGGATGCATTGACAAGGGACATTCATTCTTAACACCTAGCACAATCACCCCTGTTGCCTGAGTCATAATTAAGGTTAAGTATCAGCAAGTTCCAGGGGGACAGTTAACTCATGTCACTATAACTCAGAAGTAAATAGCTTACACACCAGAATAACTTGCAAGACTTTGCTATATTGGTAGAAACCTGGGGACGTGTGGGAATGGAATCTAAGGGCGTTAGACCAAGGAGGGTGGACTATAACACTAGATTGGGTCAAGTTCATGGATATAGTTGTTCTTAATGAGATTCTGGATTTAATGTGTTAGCCTTTGTAGCTGGAGGTGATCTAATCGTTTGCTGGGTTGGTTAAGTGAAACTTGGGTCCCGCACTGGCCCACATTTAATGTGGTGGAGATGCAGTTTCCCTGCTGTGACATGGAGGAGAGAATCTGAAGACTTAAGGAGATAGGAGTATCAGATATGTGTGGGAACAAATCTGCCACCAAACACCTACTTTGAATTAGCTTCTATGAGGCACTCCTTCCCAGAAGACACTCCTCCACTAAGTCATTGAGAATGTATTAGTGAGGGGAGGGCCTTCCCTTGGGAAGCTCTTGTTTTTTCCTATGTAGGCCAGTTAAGACCATGGGTGATATCACAACTCACTGGGGTCCCTGATTTCAGTGGGGATGACAGGGTCCTGGAGTGCCAGAGGACAAATGTCAGCACTTATTGCCAAAGACAAAGTGACACATTCACCATGAATGGGTAGCAGGGATACTGGTAATCAAAATGCCTTTGCCCACAGGGATGTTTGGCAATGGCTAATCAATTATGGTATCCCTAGGAACAAAACTGATGGGCAGCCTGATAAAGCATTCCTTGATCTATGTAACATAAGAAAGTCCAAGTCTAGTAGCCAAAAACCTGACTTGAGTCACAAAGAAGAGTCATGGCTTCTCCTACAGTTTCCAGAACTAAGTTACTTCACAGACCCAGAGCTCCTTGACTAAAGGGGGCAGGTCCCCCTCAGTTTGAACTCTGTACTATTGCTTTAAGTATATGCTGTGAATCTTCCTGTAAATCTTACCCAAAGCGACCTGTGGCTATTTATTAGAGTGACTGTGCACTGGAAAAAGAATATATCCAGACCTTTTTCGATTTCTACACATTGGCTGTGAATTGATGTTAATTCCTGGCGACCCAAAATAACACTGTGGCCCCTACTCAGAATGGGGGATTATGGTAGTCAGGTGAAAGATAGAGTCTTAACTCCAGTCTGATTTACTCTGGGCCTACTTGTTCTACGGTCCCACCCTGTGGTTATTTCCCCAGTTACTGAGCACATATTTGGAATAGACGTACTTAGCAGCAGACAGAATTTCCACATTGGCTCTCTGACTCATGGAATGAGAGCCAAGTAGAAGTCTCTGGAACTTCCTCTCCCTACCAAGATAGTGAATCACTAGTAATGCTGCCCCCCTGGGATAACTGCATCAATTAGTGCCAACATCAAAGACTTGCAAGAATTACAGATGGTGATACTTATCATACCCCTGTTTAACTCAGCTGTTTGGCCTGCGCAGTTAAATGGTCTTGGAGATGGCTGTGGACTATTGTAAATGTAATCAGGTGGTGATTCCAACTGCACAGACAGTTCCAGATGTTGTATCATCACTAGAGAAAATCTTCAGTGGCCACTGGTACTTGGTAGGCAGATATTAATCTGACCAAAGCCCCTGTGCCCAAACCGGTTTGAAAAAAACCTCCAGAAGCAGTTTGCTTTTACTTGACAGATCCAATAGTACACCCTCAGTCTCACATCTGGGCTGTCAGTTCTGCCTCTGCCCAAATATGGTTTGCAGAGATATTGCTTGCTTTGACTTTCCACAAAACATGGTAGTAGCAAAGATTTTTAGATGCTTTAGTAAGACACACGTGAATTAGAAGGTGGGAGTAAACTCTATGTTTGGTACCAACTCGATATCATTATAGTGACAGAAATCACACCAGTAATTTGAGCAGGGGACACTGAACACAAGAATCATTAATTGGTAATATGGGATTGACTACAAAGAATGGGTACAAGAGAACTCAAGAGAACATCCTAGGGCTAAGGGACAGTACCCAAGGAAGGAGTGAAGAGAGAAGAGAGATGTTTGCTTTGTTGCCCTGGGTCTACAGCTAGTGAGATAAAGCTGGCAAGTAAGGCACAGTGGACTGTGTTTGGCAAGCAAGAATCCTCCTCAGCAAACTTGTAGGTGAGCAAGTGCCACTTTGTGTCCCACACACGTGCCACTGTTTGCCACGCCCCAGGAACAAAAGCAGCACACCAGAACCAGGGCGAGCGCTCCCGTCATGTCCCTCCAGCGCCCTCTACTGATAACACTTAATATTGCGCCAGCTGGCAAATGGTTTCATAGCAAGTATCCAGTTTCACAAAGCTGGCCAGTGAAGGATTTACGTGTTTTATCTTAGTTTAAAGTATTTCTTGACTAGTATTTAGTATTATCAAAGAGATGTCTGATGCCATTCCTTTTTCAGAATTTTCTACCTACCCTTTATTCCTTTCCCTCTTCTCTACAACTTCTCTCATCCACTTGGGAAGCGCTTCTCCGTTTTTAAAGTGAGTAATAACATACAGTAAAGTGTACAGATATTAAGCATATAGCTTGATGAATATTTGTCTATGCATTCCCATAACCACCCAGACAGAAAGCACATTTACAGTATCCCAGAAGTCTCCCATGCCCCAGTCCCAACCAATAAACGAACCCTCCCCTCAGAAGTAGCCATATTCTGACTTCTATCATTATATAAGTTTTGCTTGTTCCTGAGCTTTGTATAAGTGATTTCATACAATATATACTGTTTTGTGTCCGGTGGGAGCCATGTTTTAATATTCTTTCCAAATAGAAACTTGAGGAGAAGCTAGAGTTCTGGATGGAGAAATATGACAAAGACACTGAGATGAAACAGAATGAGCTAAATGCTCTCAAATCTGCTAAGGCCAGTAACTTAGCACACCTCCAAGACCTCGCAAGGACGGTAAGGAAGCAGCTGTGCCGATGGAAGGTTGAGCACGGAGGGCGGGCGATGGCTCAGCCAACCGCAGCTGAGTGGTGCTGCTTTGGTCAGAGTGGAGGTGTGCCTGGAGACCATGCGGTTCTTTTTCAATGATTATGATGACACATGATGGGGAGGGACAACAGCTGCAGCGGTTCTTTTTCAATGATTATGATGACACATGATGGGGACAACAGCACATACAGTGCTTACTCTGTCCCAGGCACTTTACTAGTATTTCACACAAATAACTTATCTCTCACAACAACCTCGAGGTAGATACTATTATTATTTCTACTTTATGGTCTCTGAAGACAGTTTGTATATTATGATTTCTAAAAAGCTTCTCATTATGCTACCATCATTTGAATAAATGTAGAACCCAAATTTCTTTTAAAAGGTGGCTGCTACTTGTATGTGTACATTCTATCACATTATTTTGAGGTCATTAGTCACACATTGTTAGTATTTTATTTTTATGAAAGATTTTCAAGCAAATTTGAGTTCAAAGGGAAAATAATTGGGGAGCAATGATAAATATGTGAATATTTACAACACAGGAATCCAGTTATTCTTTTTCTGAAGGTGGGGAGTTATTTTTAGACTTGGCATGCTTTAAAATTTTATATTAAAAGTGCAGGGCTGGCTTGGCCACAGCTTAGCCAAGAGAGTCCTGTAACACATGGTTAATGTCTACTTTTGCAGCTAAGGGAGTATGAACAGGTCATTGCTGAAGATCGTGTAGAGAAGGAGAAGGCCAGGAGGAAGATAGAACAGGACTTCTTGGAATTAAAGAGCATCATAAAGGTAGAAAGCTATCATTGTTGTCTTGGGGCCCCTTCAATTCTGTAGCTGGCCTACCATTGAGAAGTCACAAAGCTATTGATTTGTTATTGTCAGAATTTGTCAACACAGTCTGTGGTGCAGGGAGACAACATAGAAAAGGACATGCTCCCAACTCTACATCCTGGAAAAAAAGGTGGTTAACAGTGGAAGCAAAACCTAGAGCTTGTGCTGAGGTCAATGAATACTATTTGTAACCAACACAGCTTGCAAAGGAATTCTTCTTAAAATTCTGTTTATGTAAGTCAGCCCAGGCTAGCTGCTAGATTTTAAGAGTTGTTTTCAAGTAAGGTGGAGATAAATAGCAATTTAGAAAAAAAAAAAGATATTTTAGTTTTATATGAACCCTGTATATTAGTGATGCTAAAACTGGGAGGTCAGATTCTGATAAATGTTTCAAGGATTCATCATTTGGATGAAACTGTTGTTTTGAGGATTGCCCTTCTCTCTGAAAGAGGAACAGCTGCTGAGACCTTAGAGTGTGCAAATTAGTTTGGGATGTAATTAGTGGGTAGATTAAGAAAGTAAGTTTTCAAGTACATTAGGATCAGGTATCCAAACACAGACTTGAGCTTTCTGTTAGGAGAGAGTTAGATGTAGTTAGAAGGTACTTACAGAGCTTCTATGGTGTTTCCTGGTTGTCAGCATTCCTTGATTTACATAAAAAATGTTAAGACCTGGCCGAAAACCACTTTTGTTCTTGTCACTAAGGATTTGCTGCTCCCAGTTGTTAGGGCTTAGTCTGATTTTAAATCAGCCCAGATTGTATTGGGAATAGTTCTAACGACTTAACATATTTAAGGGAGCTGTCTAAATCCTTTTTGAGAGTACTGATCCTAATCAATCCTTAAAGATATGAAATGCACCAGGAAGTCTACTTATCTAGATTATCTGCACATTTCTGAGTGCCGACTTTTCATGGGCCCACATAACTAAAATACCTTTTGGATCAAATGGTTGTTAGATAGGAGAAATGCGGATGTTCATGAGGAGCAGCAACACAAGGCATTTAGGTCTCTAAGTGCAAAGGAAAGATTGGGCTAATCAGAATTCCTTTTTAAAATTTTACTGTGAGAATTCTACCCCCGAGTCCATGGCTTAAGCTCCGGGTCCTGCACAACAGGGGAGCCTTGCTGAAGGGAGAGCATGCTTGGCCACGCAGTCCGTGTCTTAGACAGAAATTACTTCATCAAAAAACCACCTCCTCATGTAGAAACGCAGCTCGTCAGGCATACTAGAAAATGTATTCGCTTCTTTTCAGCTCCAGGCCTGGTGGCGAGGCACTGTGGTACGGAGGGAAATTGGTGGTTTCAAAATGCCCAAGAACAAAGATGATGGCAAGGATTCAAAAGGTAAAGACGAAGACAAGGACAAGTGGAGAGGCAAGAAGAAGTGAGAATCATCTCCGGTCTTTCCCTCGGGTGTTCTGGGGATGAAGAGAGCAAGGACACTTTACCATCAGAGACTCACCCAAAGGCTGTTTCTTATTTGGACATCCCCAGGTGCAGCCTAGTTATTTCACTTTGCCTGCTATATTAGTTTTCAAACCCTGATTTAGCTTATACTATAGATTTGGGACTTTTTCATATTTTGAAAAAATTTTGCTGGGAAGAAGTATTTCTAGGAACCTTCTTCAGATTCCTCTTGCTCTTCCTTACAGAAAAAAGGTCATGGGCTTTGTTGTATCAATGCATGAAAATGAGAAATTCCTGTAATGTCTCTGATTTTTGGTGAGACCCTAGGGTCTATTCCTGCTCTGCTTACTCAACAATTTTCCCCTTACGGGGTACTAAGGCTAAAGAGAAGCCACGTGAAAATCCCCAACCTAAACCTAGCACATAAAGCTGACGATCACTCTCCCTCTTCCCCAAGACACCATGAGCCCACTGGATTATTCCAGACTTGATTAATCAGAATAGAATGTCTAGGGATATTGAAGCTTTCCCTATAGCACAGTTGGCAATTTCTGAGATAAAAGTCTAGTGTGTCATGTATTTCGTGACGTACGTATTTTAAAAGCCTTATTATATTTGTTAACTCCAAATACAGGGCAATACTGGTATCTACACTTTCTTGAAAAAGTACATTTTGATCTCAAGGGCCTGGTTTCCACTGATGTTCCCTCAGGGAATTAGATACCATTTCATTTTTGCCAAAGAAACAATGCTTTAGGTATGAACATTTTCAAATCAGCCTTTATTTCATGCTACTGAAGTGTTGGTTTTTATTTTAATGTCAGTGTGTAAGGTGGCATACAGACAATATAAAATAACACATGATATTGACATATTTATACTTAGAACTTATGCATTGTATTTACAGACATACAAATATAGGACAATGTTTTACAAAATCTTTACATGTTTACAACACTTTCAGAAATAAAATGAAATCTCCATCTCACTGCAATATGTATATAAAAGTTTTCTAAATATCCATGTTTTCCTTCATTTCTACAACCTTTTAAACGCTTAGTTTTCAAAAATTCATCATACTCATCAGCATGTCACACATCATTAGTTCCTGCTGAGCTGCAGCAAGTAGGAGAAATCACAGACTCCTTGAAAAGCTATAAAAGCTGTATTTTTAAAAACTATTAACATGATCTACTAAGAAGCCCCCTACTCTGTTCTAGCGAAATACAAAGGCTGTTCCTCTCATGAGTTGTTTCCAGAGAACTGGTTTGGAGCACTAGGCATGTGAGTTTGAAAGCCCAGAAACCTGCCGCCTTCAAAGCTCTGTGGTTGGCAGGGGCCCTGGTGAGTGGGCACTCAGCCTCTTCCCACACAGTGGGTGCTGGGAAGGTCACTGTAGGAGGCTCACACAAGGTCAGGTGGAACTCCTACAAAGTCATCTCCATCTTACACAGGAGTCTTAAGCAAGGCTAAATGCTAAAGTTCCCAGTTAAACAAAAAAGGTACTTGCAAAACACTGAATACAAAAATTTTCCAAAAAATCATGATTTGTTTTTGCACCTTGACATAGAAAAGAACTTCAATATATTTGATATTTTACTTTATATCAGCCATAATGATGTAAATTTTTTTCTAACAATTCTAAATTTGAATTAGTTTAATGAAAATACATTAATCTGGTTTCATGTTATGAGTAAAATTTGAAATAGGTTGAAATTATTCCAACAGGGAAATTAGATACAAATGTTTCAAATGTTGCATTACATTTGTCTTCTGGGATTATTCCCAGAAGTGACTTAAGTGACAAGCTGTCTTGTCCTTTGCTGGGTTTCATTTCGAATGTCTCTACATAATCTGGGCATTGTAATATTGACTAAAGGAAAGGTACCTATAGTTTAAAAATACACAGCTAAATTATAAACAAGTCATATGATTGGTGGGTCTGTTTGTCACTGTAAATATAATGGGGTCTGGCTCTTAAGCACTTAGAAGACATTTTGTTTTTGTTCTGAGGACCCTGAAGGACTGGGTTTTGGGCCAGATGTTTTATGTTATAAGATTTTAAACTTGAACAAATGTTCTGATGAACTTGTTTCCTTGTAAGAACAGGAAAAGACACTCTGACCAGAATAATTCAACATAATTTTATCCAAAGTTCCTTTTAGATGCTGCATTAACGTGACAGAGAAAGAACATTATGCTCAAATGCATGCATTGGCAAAGAAAATCCACAAGTTAACAATAGGAAAAACGCTGAATAACTAGTATCTTCTCACTTAACTCTACGTGCTTGGTTCACAAAGGCAGAGAATACCAAAGATACCCAGACAACTAAAGGGGGCCCAAAGCATGGGAAGAAGAGAGACCCAGGGGGCTAACCTTGCATAAAAGCTCCTGGCTTTGTGATGCTCCAGTCCTTGGACCTTTTTGCTCCACCCACAATTAGAGCAAATAAGGCCCTAGAGGTGGAGTTAGACAAGACAGATGAAAAGACTTCTTTGCTGGCTGTTTGTAAGATGCCACAAGCACCTTAACTGAGCCACAGAAACAGGCAGTTTCCTGAAAGAAATAGAAGAACCTTGGCTTTTCCTCTATCCCTTTTGCTTTCTCTTCATAATCTTCCATTAGCTGCTCCAGGCATGCTGGGAGCCGCACGGGGGAAGAGCAGGAAGGCGCAGTGAAGCCGGAGGCTGAGTGTGCCTAAGCATTTGGAAGCTGTGTGGGGAGTGCTTGTGTACAGAGTGTGGGATGACACAGAAGCACCCTCTAAACAGGGTGGACTGGAGCTGGGCAGGCCTAGAACACACACAACTCTGTATTTTCTCCAAAAGAGGTTTTTTGTCCAAAAACCCGTTCTATGTTATTTTTCTTTTGCCTTAGACAGACCATCCAAGTAGTCATAATACAGATGCTGATTTTAAATGTAGTTGGAAAACACAGTGGAGTCATTACTCCCCCAAATCATACCAATATCTAGCATGGAATGGTGGTCTCCACTACATGAAACACCTGGAATGTTTGATGACAGTGCAGATACCTAGGCCTCAATGTAGATCCACTGAATTAGAATCTGTATTTTTAATAAATGCTCCAGGAGACTATAACGAACTAAGTTCAGAAGCCAGTGGACTCTCAAGGTCTTGAAAACAGGTATAAATAATAGCATTTCTGTGCCTTCAAGAGAGCTAATTATCCCTCTGCAAGGACAGTCATCTTGGTAAGTAAAGAGAGCCTACCCTCTAGGAAAGCACAGCCAGTTTAGGCTTCAGTGCTGGGTTCTCAGTAATGACAGGATTAAGTTTCATTTGCAAAAACCAACCATGTCTTCATAAACAATCAGTGGAAATGGATATAACCTCCCCTAAAATGGAGAAATGAAGCAAAACATTCCTGTCAGGAATCATGGAAACAGTCCCTTTAAGAACATACGAGAGTTCAGGGAAGCAGAAGGCCGCAGCGGCAATCACGCCGTCCTGTCTGTTCGTCCAGGCCAGCGCCCCAGTGCCCGAGTCCTCACACAGCAGAAAACTGGGGCTGCTGTTGCTTGGGTGGCGCAAGTTCCAGGAGAGCCTGGACCGTCACGGCCACCTGGCTCAAGCCTTTCTCTTCTAAAATGTGGAGAGGCAAACATAATTGCTCCTGAAATGGGACAACGTAACATAAAAACAAACAAAAGAGAAATATAGGATGAACATCACAGAACTGAAAAAAAAGAGCATCTCTCCTCTCTCTCATGATAACCAGCTGAGCTATGGAAAGTCAACACCTGAGGAGCCGATCTCAGGTAGTAGGAGTCACACAGAGATGGCATCTGACACTCACGTCACCTTATTAATACAACTAAAAGTACATACATATCATTTGGAAAATTGGGAAACAGACAAGTTTACATACACTTACATACACAACAGAGAATAAGGAAAAGTGCTATGGAGTGAAAGCAACATCCTTCAACTGTGGTAAATAAATGAGTGATGCAGACCAGCAGAACAGGGCAGGCGGAAAGAGAAGATCCCAGTGCCCAGGGGGCTCAAGCCTGAAAAATACAACATTGTAGGAGGAAGCACTTTGGAAATGACATACCACAGGAACACAAAATGGTTTCATTCCATCACTTGAACAGCCTGACAGGGACACCACTACACGTGTTATACCCTGATTGTGAAAATCAGGGTTCTCATACCAGGCGGGGATCACAGGAGAGAACTGAAGTGTATCCTTGAGATTTAGATGTATTTGAGAAACTATCCCCTACCTTTAGTAATTCATGGAAGACCCAGTTTGAATTAGTAAAAAATCTAAACTACAGATTGAAAAAAATATATATACTGTATTTGAAAAACTAAAGTATTTTGTGTCCTGGTATTTGATGGATTAAATTATGCTAGAGAACTAAAATGTGAGTTTAGCCAGGAACATCTTAACTACCATATATTTGAAAATTGTTTAGATGTTTGCTTAAGAAGTTGTTTGTCACATTACTGTGTTTGATTACTCCTTGCTTATAACAGAAAAAGGCCTAGCTTAAGCTTAACACCTATCGCTCATTTTTCTTTTAAGACTAAGTGTTCAAAAAGAGATTGCTCTCACATAGGCCAGAAAGTGGCATTCTGTTCTACTGTAGAAGACACTATATATATTTATTAAAAAAGGTAACTGGCTTTTCTCAGCTTTTCACTGGCATTTACTATATTATAAGAGAATTTCATAAAACCAGTTGCAATAAAAAATATGAGTATTTATTTTGAGCAGTTATTGGTACTTGTGGTTCTTAGTTACTTCTTTAATACTTCTGATAAAACAATCTTTTGATCTTACAAAACTAGCAACTATACATAAATACTTAGAGTACAACTGCAAGTACAGATTGACTGTGTGAAATGAACCTGCACGGTACTTTGCTTTTGGGAGAGACATATTCTCTCCAAGGGCAATTCCTCAATCTCCTTGTGCCCTATGACCTGGGCAGCCTGTGGCTTAGACATTCCTGCAGAGGCTCATGCTTTCCAGATGCATATTTACCTTCCTGCTGGCCTAGAACACTGTTCTGAAGAGAAGGTACAATTTTTTCCCCTCAAACTACAGAGGAGACCATGTGCTTTTTATCAGGTGTTTTCTTAAAAGGGACAAAACTGAATGACCTCTGACTCAGAGACGTCTTAATGACAAAACAAATCCGAAACCCCCAAACTCCAGGAGGCACCGCTACTGTATAAACCTGACATTTTCAACACAGTGCTTGATGTTTCAGCATTACCAGTAAACTTACGTGTTAAATAATTGTCCCATTTAATATGAAAGAAAACCAAAACAATCAGACCTTCAGGCTGACTTCTACAACAGGATGACATGTTCCTTGCAATTTCCCTTCATACTTACAGAGTTTAGTTGTCCAATTTTGTTAACAGAGTTCAGAAATACTGAGAATTAGGATCTGAATGCAACTATAAAGCAGTTTCAAGCATTAAGATAGCAGCTAATGTACTAATCATTCTGAAGGAGACAATACTCACTGCCTTGGGTACAGAACAGAGACTGCTGCCTAATACTTTCTTTACCTGCTGCTGTTCAGATACAATCTTAACTGCCTATAAAATATAAGTTGGCCTATTTGAAACTGGTCCAAATATATTAGAAATTAAATAAATTCCAGTCTTAAATTCTAAATAGGATTCCAAAGATGAACTCACTTAAAGGTAACAAACAGTAAATATAAACGGGTGTATACACTAGGCTCAGGATAGTACTCTAGGGAACCTGCATGATCTTTGGACTGTGTATTCTGGTCAAATTAAAATTATTAAGATTAAACAGCAGTGCCTTCCACATATTCAGACAGCAAATCCTTAGGTGTACCTGTACCTTCCGATAAAGGGAGATTTTAGAATTTCAGGACACAACTGAATGCAGAGATCCAAGTGACCAGGTGTCCCCTAACCTGGAAAGAGTAAAACAATTTTCATTTTGAGCAGCTGTTGAAAAGGCTCTGCAACTCACAGTTTCAACATGTAAGTTGTGGTGAAGCACAGAAAAATGGCCAGAAGGGAATTTTATGTCATTTGGAAATAAAGTTCTAAGCCATATCCCAAGAAAAGGCTCTGGATTGTATTAGTAGAAAGAAATGCTTCAACATTTATGAGAAACAAAATGAACAGGGAAAAAAAATGGTCTTTTACTCTGTTAGCAATCACAAATGCTTACTAAAGTGACGGGCTGCTCGTGTGGACATAGGAGTAAAGGATTTATCTACTTTACTGATTAGCTCTTTGATGGCCAGGGGAAAAAAACATGTATGTAAATACTTTGAACAAGAAACAAACCTCCTTTACCAAGCACAGAAATGAGGTGGAAAGTTGCTGGAATGCCATCTTTCAGCTAGAGGGGGAAGCTCCAGTAATAAAGCATACAGAGAGTTAACATTAAAGTACAGTAAAATGCCACAAAACCCAAAAGCTGGATAGATAGAGAGACAAAACTGGATTCTTCTGAATGTGCCCCAAGAGAAAGGAGTGTTTCAACAGTTCTTTTAACGCTGAGGTTTAGCTGAAGGATGTCAGAAGGGGAACAAAGATTGTCCTGTCCAAAGTGTGAGCAGGAAAGGAAAACAGAAAAACAAAGTCAGTTTATCAGAAATACAGATTTGAGTATAGAATTCACTATGATCAACTCAACTATATTCAAAGAAACACATCCCGTAACTTTTTTTACTATGATGAATGAAAATAAAATGTTGAAAAACAAGACTACAAAGGATTCTCTATATGCTGAGCTTGATCTTTAATAGCCGATTAAAACTGGTTTATTGGTGACTAGTGTGAACACTTAGGGTACAATGGGCAGAACAGGGTGTTGGCCTAGGGTTGTAGGAGCCTGAGAGAGGTGAGGCCTGCACGAGGCAACCCCTTTCTCAACTCTACTCTTCCCTGTTACCAAAACAAGAACAGGTCAGAAAGCAAGGACCAAACCTGGGCGTGGGCTGAGGAGAAGGAAGTTTTCGGAGAAAGCCAGGAAATTCAAGGTGGAAAGAACAAGTAAAGCGCACTGAGGGAAGTGCGCTCCCCCGGCCGGGCACACTGAGTGATGTGGTGCTCCCTGAACATCAAGCTGAACCTGTGTAACCACGGCCAGTTTACTAGTAGGTATGGAATGAATCCAGACTGGCATGGGCGTGAGAGCATCCAAACCCTTCAGTCTGCAGATTAAGAAATTAAATAAAAACCTTACTGGACTTGGTAACAGGGAAATATTCTTTAATACCTAATATACAATAACTCTAAGACAAAAGATACTGGACTCAAGTAGAAATTTTTATCACCCATTATAGCTTTTTGAATGTTAACATATATGCTATAAAAGCAAATAATAAAGAGAATACCTTTGTGTCCACCTTCATTACAGGTTTTTTAATAGTTAACCTTATTCTTTAGTGTTTCATTGATAATTTAACTTGTAAATACTTTAATAAAAGTTTTACTGAGAAGGGAAATTGTTTATCTTTATATATATTGTCTGGACATAGAACCTGACAAATACTTAGAGCGTTAAGTTTCATGTTACACATTTTCAAAAGTGACCATTTTTACATCCCTGGTTTTCTTCACAAGTCAAACAGAGCAAGTGGGGATGTTTAGCTAAAAGTCAAAATGCCCAGAAAGCGGGGGAGAACAAAGGAAAAGGAGGAAGTATAGGCTTCTTTCCTCCTGTGGCCGAGGGACTGGAGAATGCTGGTTTGAACATACAGGTTTGTGTACTTACTTTTTTTCCTTCACTTTGTCCTAAGCAAAGGACCAGTTTTTTAGCAAAAGTAGCAGACTAACAAGAAACTACCTAAAAGTGGGAGTAGCATGGTGGTGGTGGTAGAGACTTCGGGGAGAAAGGCAGAAGAGGAGAGGAAGAGGTGGTGTAGGTGGAATGCTCACTTCCTTTTTCTGGTGGGGGAGAGGGAAAGCGTGGAAGGATGTGTCAAGAACTCCAGTCTAACCACTCTGGAGAAGTACCCAGTCTTTTTAAATTATATTTTGTTCTATCTCTTGCCTTCAAATAGCACTGCTCTGTTAGGAACAGAGGCAGATTGGCCCATAATAGATACTGTTAATCATTGCTTGGCAAATACTGAATTAATTGCATGCGTTAAGGCATACTGTTTTCGTATTTTGCTGATGGCAGGTACATTCTGAACTTCAGTGTATGGACTTTAAAATCTGAGACAGATGATGGTTTTGTAAAGCCCAGAGTACAGATACAAGGAGGACACACACACACCAGCAACAGGACTTTTTAACAGGGCTGATGCAGGCTAATTCGGGCTAACAGCTTGCTATGTGGTCCTGTTTTCAGCATCCTTCTCCCTGGGTACAGTGCCTCTTTTATTACCATTCCCTGAAGCAACCCATGCCACATTCTTTTGTTCAAAGACAATGTGATACGGCACCAGGCCAGGTATGGGGCACACTTAGGTAACGTGATAAGCAGGTAGAAACCAAACACTGAATGTTAATGTGTACATATGAATATTAGAACCTGCTTGTTAACATGGAGAAAATGCATGCTATTTGCTTCGAAACCTTTTAATGCTCTCTTAGTATGTTTCAAAATGGTTTATTCTAAAAGACATGATGTGCTAGAAAACAGTATGATATACAAATTAAAAATCTGTGAATTTGTCCATAGGAACAAAAAAGGCCCTTGTTATCTACCAACTAGATGTAGCTTTCAGTTCTTTTAACAACTCAGCTTTAAAAAAGAAAAACAACAGAAGAAAAAATTGAAAAATTGCAGAATTACAATTATTCAAAAAGAAAAAAAAATCATGGGAATTCGTGCTGGCTAATGCAGATGCTCTATGGAGCCGGACTCTCGCTCTTCCGCTCTGCAACATGTGAGAGCTGAAGGAGACAGCTGTTTGTTGGACAAGGGACTCTGGGATCATCTCATCTCCTTGACAGTTAAGAGAGAGGAATGGAGAACTGGGTAGAGAAGAGGCACTGTCATGAACGCAATTAGGACAAGGACTTAAATTCCCAGAGAAATAATGGAGTTGAGTCTAGTGGCCAATCCGGGGTTTCTGACAGCTAATTAAGAAGCTGAGAGAAACAGTCATGTTTTCCTCTTTGAAGGTTGGACAAAATATGATGACAGGAACCACGATGATTGTGGTTAATCCAAGTTGTTTATTTCTTTAAATTTATCTATACATATCATTAAATATATTATTTCTTAAGAGTACCATGCTTAGTTGGCTTAACAATTGTTTTTTAAAAGGGTAGTTGAGTAAAAAGTGTAACAAGTTCATGTCCTTCAACCACATCTTTTAAAAAGTGCAACTATTTAAAAGGCAATAAAACTATAAACACTGAGGAACCTAGAGACAATAAGCCTCAATAGCAAGAAAAATGCCTAGAAATGCCTCTTATGACACTGAATTCCCAAGTATTAGAGCGTGGTGGCAACACTGGAATAAAGTCTGTAATTTAGTTAACAGCACTGTCCAGTGTTTATCAGTTTGGATGACCTACTCTGTTTATATATAGATTATACTCCTGTACCAGTACAGGAACCTGACTGCAGTGTACATGCTGACTCTTTGCAACACTTCTCTAAATCTGAAGTTATTTCAAAATCAACATTTTCTTAAATTATTACAGTGCTAAAAAAATTGAAGCCAACAGAAGCATTCCCAATCTCAGATGCATTGATTTTGAAGCATAGATTGTGCTGTGTATGAAGATGCATAGGTCCAACAGCAAGTAGGAAGGTTTAGGAAAATATCAGAATAACTGTTTTTTTGATTACTTAGCACTAATTACTTTTTACAATTTACTTAAATTTATGTGTGTATGATTTCTTTGCTTGGCCCTTGGAAATAATTAAGGAAACTGCTCAGAAGTATATTGACTGACTCTAGAAACACGTAATCATGTTAGTAATTATCACTTAATTCAGAAGTAGTCCTATAAGATTTTAGATACTTACATTTCTGAAAGATTTTTGGAAAATAATATCAAAGTCTATTTAGACAACAAAAAATGATAAATTTATTACCTGAGGTACACCAATTTTTCTGCAAGCTTCTAGGAAATTCTCCACATTTCGCCTGCATTTTGCCATTGTTAATTTAGGCTGTGAAGGAAGGAAAATGTGGTGTTACTGGCAAACTTTTAAAAAAATTTGCTAACTTTAAAAACACTCTCACCAATTGCTTTGTAATTCAATGCTTTAGACCAGAGGGTCAGCAAACTTTTTTTTTTTTAAATGGGTAGAGAGGGCAAGTACCTCAACATAATAAAGCCCATATATGATGAACCCACAGCCAGCAGCATACTTAACAGTGAAAAGCTGAAAGCTTTTACTCTAAGATTGGGAACAAGACAAGGATGCCCACTCTCACCACTTTTATTCAGCATAGTACTGGAGGTCCAAGCCACAGCAGACAACACAAAAAATAAAAGGCATCCAAATTGGTAAGGAAGAAGTCAAACTGTCACTGTTAGCAGATGACATGATATTGTACATAAAAAATCCTAAAGAATCTACCCCAAAACTACTAGAACTAATAACTGAATTCAGCAAGGTTTCAGGATAAAAAATTAGTATACAGAAATCTTTTGCATTCCTATGTACTAATGACAAATTAGCAGAAAGAGAAATCACGAAAACAATTCCACTTACAATTGCATCTAAAAGAATAAAATACCTAAGAATAAACCTAATCAAGGAGGTGAAAGACCTATACCCTGTAAACTACAAGACACCCATGAGAGAAATTAAAGATACCAATAAGTGGAAATACATCCTGTCCTCATGGATAGAAAGAATTAATATTGTCAAAATGGCCATCCTGCCTAAAGCTACAGATTCGATGCAATCCCTATCAAAATACTGACAGCATTCTTCAATGAACCAGACAAATAGTTCTAAAATTCATACGGAACCACAAAAGATCCCAACAGCCAAAGCAATCCTGAGAAGGAAGACTAAGCTGGGGGGATTACGCTCCCAACTTCAAGCTCTACTACAAAGCCACAGTAATCAAAACAATTTGGTACTGGCACAAGAACAGACCCATAGATCAGTGGAACAGAATAGAAAGTCCAGATATAAACCCACACACATATGGCCAATTAATATATGATAAAGGAGCCATGGATATACAGTAGGGAAATGACAGTCTCTTCAACAACTGGTGTTGGCAAAAATGGACAGCTACATGTAAGAGAATGAAACTGTCTAACTCCATACACAAAAGTCAACTCGAAATGCATAAAAGACCTGAATATAAGTCATGAAACCATAAAACTCTTAGAAGAAAACACAGGGAAAAATCTCTTGAATATAAACACAAGCAACTTTTTCTTGAATGCATCTCCTCAGGCAAAGGAAACAAAAGCAAAAATGAGCATATGGGACTACATCATACTAAAAAGCTTCTGTACAGCAAAGGACATCATCAGTAGAAAAAAAAGGCAACCCACAGTATGGGAGAATATATTTGTAAATGACATATCCAATAAGGGGTTAACATCCAAAATATATAAAGAACTCACATGCTTCAACACCTAAAAAGCAAATAACCCAATTAAAAAATGGGCAGAGGATCTGAACAGACACTTCTCCAAAGAAGAAATCCAGATGGCCAGCAGGCACATGAAAAGATGCTCCACACTGCTAATTATCAGGGAAATGCAAATTAAAAGCACAATAAGATATTACCTCACACCAGTTAGGATGGCCAGCATCGAAAAGAGTAAGAACAAATGTTGGCGAGGATGTGGAGAAAGGGGAACCCTTCCACACTGCTGGTGGGAATGTAAACTAGTTCAACCATTGTGGAAAGCAGTATAGAGGTTCCTCAAAAAGCTGAAAATAGAAATACCATCTGACCTGGGAATTCCACTCCTAGGAATTTACCCAAAGAATGTAAGTTCTCAGATTCATAAAGACATATGGACCCCTGTTTATTGCAGCACTATTTACAATAGCCAAGAAATGGAAGCAACCTAAGTGTCCATCAGTAGATGAATGGATAAAGAAGATGTGGTACATATACACAATGGAATACTATCCAGCCATATGAAAGAAAGAAACCCTACCATTTGCAACAACATGAATGGAGCTGGAGGGTATTATCCTCAGTGAAATAAGCCAGGCAGAGAAAGACAAGTGCCCAATGATTTTCCTCTTTTAAGGAGTATAACAATGAAGCAAAATTGAAGGAACAAAACAGCAGCAGACTAACAGACTCCAAGGGACTAGTAGTTACCAAAGGGGAGGGGTGCGGGAGGGTGGGTGGGGAGGGAGGGAGAAGGGGATTGATCGGTATATTATGATTAGTACACATGGGGTGGAGGGGATCATGGGGAAGACACTGTAGCACAGAGAAGACAAGGAGTGACTCTGTGGCATCTTACTACACTGATGGGCAGTGACTGCAATGGGGTATGGGGGGGACTCGATAATATGGGTGAATGTAGTAACCACATTGTTTTTTATGTGAAACCTTTGTAAGAGTGTGTATCAATAAAACCTTAGTAGGTTATGGGTTATATGTAAGAAATATGAATTCCATTTCCCAGAATGATTAACAAACTCAACTGCTCAAATTCACTGGCTGATTTCCATTATATTTAAGCATCAGGTGTGTAAAGCAAACATTTGCAGGGCCTCTGATGCAGAGTTTTTATAAAGGTAAGCAGATGGAAGCCTGTACCGTCTCTAGAAAACAAAGGGTTCACTTGTGAGTATCTGGGTATTCAAAGACAGAATATGATACTCTGTCAGAACAAGGGGAACAAGGTAAATACATAATAATGGTTGAAAGTACTATAATCTCAATCTGAGAAAGGTAGCAGGGGCTGGGACTCGCTTTATTAAAAAGAAAAAGGTAACAAGTGAGACAGAAGGAAAGTAATAATTTTAAAATTTCAATGGAAAAACTTTCAGATAGGTCCAGAAGGAAGATAGGAATTAGGTTTCTATGAAGAGCACCCTTTCTTGCCTATGCCAAGTTCTTGTATCACTGAAGTAAAAAAGTTAAAAAAAAAAAAAGGAGTGAAACATAAATAGAATCATGACCTACTTAACAGAAGGAGAAAAAGAATCATGATGGGGGGCAGGGGTTCATAATGCCTAATTCACACTGGAGCTGGACTCTTTCTCTTCCACTTTCTACATATGAAAGAGCAGGCTGCCCACTGGACAAGCTATACTTCAGTCTTCTCAGCTCCTGGCTGGTTAAGAGGGATGTAGCGTGAACTGAGGCACAAGAGAAAAGGCACTGTGGTGAAAGCTACTGGGACAAGAGCTTAACTTTAAAGAGAAGCTAGGGAAAAAAGACAACAGGACAACTGCTTTCATTTAGGAGAATTTTCTCACTGGCTAGAAATTCTCTCTCCATGTACCAGTTTCCCTCTCTGCCTGTAGAAAAGGAAATAGAAACAATGCTCTACTTTCTCTTATTATGACGGGAATTTAGCTAAGCAACCAGGATCCTGATCTGAGTTTGGCAGAGAAGGCTAGGGGTGTGTGCACAGGGAAACTATGGATGAGAGGCTCTAGCACAAGGAAGGACCTGGGCATTTTGTTCTAGAGAAGGACCCCCTACATTTCTCAAACTACCATTCAGATGCCAGTGTTTGTGGGAGAGCGGGGTGAGAGAGGTCTGACTGCATAGGTAGAAAAACAACTGTTTCTGTGCAAAACAAAGGATAAAAGGATAGACTTCATGCTGCTAAGTTAAAAATTGGTTAGGAATCACTACCACCTCAGATAAAAAAAAAGGCAGCTCATAATAATGATCATGGGTTCTAATTCAGCATCACCTTGAAGACTGCTAGTACCTTAAGATACAAAGGTGTCAGAGGAGGGGGAAGTAGAACACAAAATTTCCTTTAGGATTTTTCTTGAAGAGAGCAGAGTTCTGATTAACAATCGAGAGGGGAGAGGAGTGGAGAAATATAATTTCTCTCCCCATTCTTTCCTTCCTTCATTATTTATCTAAATTCCAGGGATGTAGGTCAGTGATTAATAATTAGTATACAACTCCTTCTATAGTCTGATGAGAGCTGTGAATCTACTCTTGGGAAGAGCACAGCATTTGGGGAAGTTGATAGAGCTCTGGAGGCTGGGGAAGTAAGTGCATGAATCCCAGGCTACAAATCCCTGCTCTGTTCAACGGAGTGGCTAGTCAAAAGGGGTGAAGACTCTATCCCTCTAGAGTGCAGAAGGGCTCATGATTTTTCCTTAAATCAAATCTCATACGAACTTGCTATATACCCACAAGCTTTTCCAGAATTCTGGATGACATAACACATGGTTTTGGATAGCCACATATAACCTGTTCTATTTCTATAATGTACAGCCTGATTTGAAGTAAGAAATTAGATGCAGGTTTTGGGGAAGAAAGTAATTTCAGTAAGAGCATAATCTATACTGAAAGGAATAAGAAATAAACAGTTTCATTACTGTGGAATTTGAAATGATTCAGAATTTTTTCAGGTCATCTTGAAGCTTGGAAACATAGTTCACTCAGTGAGTTGTCACAACATCACAGTATTTGTAATAATTTTTGACATGATTCAATAGTACACTTCTAAGGAAGTAAACTGTCCTACTTACCACCTATGCCTATTGGACAGACAACCAAACAAAAGTTTATCAAACATCACTGATCCCCCAAAATAACTAAGGGAAATGAATCATAGCACAAAGCTTGCAAGCGCACGTGCCTGAGTTTCTTTTAAAATGCCTGAACATAAGACCTCCCCTTATAATGAGGGATCATTTTTTGAACTGGGGAAAATAAATCATGGTTTGAATAATATATAAAGAAAGTGTTTATTAAGTTCATTCAGAGGTCTAATCAGCCAGTTCTCACAAAATTACTATAAATTATTATACTGTAGCCATCAAGAAATTGCTATGGTTTTTCATTTATATTTGGCTTTAATTTTCATTATCACCACAAACAAATCTCTACTAGCAAAGTAAGCTATAAAAGTCTCTGTATGATCAGAATAACAAAATATGGGAAGAAATCAATCTAACATGAGAAAGAGCAATTCATATAAACAAAAGACAGATGTAAACATTCATTCTGAAATCTACTACATAACAGAAACCCTATTAAAGCATTACTGACTTATTCAAGATTCTCATTATCACAATTTATAGAGTTTTTTGGTTTTTTTTCTTTTTCTTTTAATTAAAATACTGGACAATTTTCATCTGGTTGACTCAAAGTCCATTTTTTTACTCCCAAATGTTGTAATTTGGTAGATTTTACATATTTACATGTTTCTTAACCTGACAGTTAAGTGACTATTCATTCATTAACCAAAAAGATCTCCTCTTGAACAATTTTATTTAATAGGCTTACTTCCTTTTAAGTGTCAAGGATATTATTTCATGAAAGACCTCTTTTTTTAAAAAAAGAGGAATTAATGTTCTCGAAAGAATGGGCCACTTGTAACTTATTTCTGTAGTTTTCATCTCTTGCAGAATGGCTGGCACTGGATATGTGCTCAATAAATATGAGTTAAGTTTTACTGTTGATTTTGCTAGCAAGTTTTAAATGCTCTAGTCTCATGTTATACCCATATTTCTCTGATTAATGAGAAGATCCATCTGTTTGATTTCTCTGAACAGTTAAGTATATATAAAATACTTTTATTTTTCCTATATGTATTTTATATTCTTAAATGGAAAGCACTGTGTTCTGTTGATCAAGGTAAAGAACCTCAGTCACCCTTAGTCCCAAATTGCACTTTTTACCTTAGCTCCTTCCTATGTCCCCTGGAAATGAAGAATGAAAGATTTGTCCCTTTTTTATTACTACTTTTAAAAACTTGTTTTTTCCTTAACTCAGTTGATAAAAACTGGAAAGAATGCAAAGTATGAACAAGCCCTTCCTTACTGGTGTTGCCAAATAGCATGTCAATTCCTACTCTTGTAATCACCACCTTTAGGACTAAAACCAAGTTTTTCACATCTTAAGGAGCTACTTGAGTGGTGGTACTACACTACTCCTCTCTGCATTTTCTACACTAAACTGCCTTTTTCTGAAGTCACTAAATAGACAGTGGCTACCACCTTAGAAAGAAATGCATAATTTTATTTTGGATATGCTAGAGCAGAAAGGGCCATATCATTACCTTGAGACTTTGGTAACAAAGCAGCTTGGATAATTAAAAGAATACAAGTCTCTGGGAGGGATATATGATTTACAACTGGAGACATAGCAAGAAAAATATCCAGCAGTGGCAACCTACAGGCTGAGATACAACTGCAATTTGAGTAAAACTCTGTATCAAAAAGGGTCTGTTAAATAACAGCAAATAACCAGAAAATGAAATGAGGTCAAATCTTTTAGACACTTAAGCATGTTACAATTGCACAGTATCCATTCAGTGTCATCAACCATCAAGTACCCATCAAATGCTATACAGGAACCTTGATTATATCCTGGTGGTACATGTGTACACCAGGGAGGGGAGAGGAGAGAGAGCAGCTATGAGAGAGATTCTTGAACAACTGGAGACATCTGAATATACCTTGTGGATGCTGCTGAAGCTGCACCCAGGAGCCCCTTTGCCTAGGCTGTGTGTCCACCCTCACCTTCCACCACCACTCCCTGCTGGCTGCTATGGCTCAAAGCTGTCCCCTTCCCAGTTTCAGCCTGATCCCAGAGAGCACTGGAGTGTGGATCACACCTCATGCCCACCTTCAGGCAGGAGGGCTCAGTCCCGATATCAGTCAGTCACTGTCTATAGGCTATGGAGAAGAGCAAGGTAGCCTAGGACAGTTCTGAAATAATCAGAGGGTAAAGTGTTTGAATATCTGCAACTTTTAAATGGTTGCAATTAAAATACATACACAAATAATGGCAAAGCAAGATGGCAAAATGAGATAAATGAAAATCTAGGTGGAGATTTTGTGTTCTCTGTATTACTGTTTCAATTTTTCTGATTTGAAAATTTTATGTAAAAAATTTGAAGGAAAAAAAAGGAGAGTGTGCCAACCCAAAGCCTTCCTTCTCTTTCCTTTGTGGCTTGCCATCCTGATGTGACCAGCAGTCTAAAGAAAACCAGCCAGTCATCCTGAACGCATATTCTCCCTCATTTTGCACCTGAGGATGGTCACACATCTTTCTAAACTGCAAGGATAACCCTACTATTCCCCTCAAATTCTTGCTGTGTTTTCTCACTTTCTACCCTAAGACAAACTCCCAACTCCCTGACATAGTACATGCAGACTTATTACGGGGCCTGTGGCTGATCTCTCTGGCTTTATTTCCTGCATTTGTACCCCTATCTTGTGCATGATGTATTTTGACCAAATTAAGAATTCCTTGAGTATGCCATGATCTTCATTATCTTTTGAATGTAGGAATACTGTACCCAGAATATCTTCCCCCTTCTCTGACATGCTGGCAAATTCCTACTTATACTTTAAGAATTAGTCAAATTTTAACCTCCCTGGGTAAGGCTTTCCCAACTCTCCAAGCAGAGATAAGTGTCCCCTTTTGGTATTCCTAGAGCACACCTCTTATACATTTCTCTTTTAACATTTATCACACTGCTGTAAGATATTGTTTGCATGCCTATTTTTTTCTCTAGCAGAAGTGAGACCCAGGAAGGCTGGAACTGGATTATTCATATTTGTATCCCTAGCATTATGCACAATGCCTGCTACTGTACTTAATAAATGTCAACATTTTTTAGCATTATGAACTTACTACAGCTGGTGAAGGGACGTGAATGCTTGGGACGGACCGAGGCCGCACATGATTGGCCAAGTGGCAAAGAACAACACCATCGGTTAAAGCTGCTCCAAGATCACAAGGTAGAGATACTTTCAACCGGTACTCAATATGCTAAAAGAACAGGAAAACGGGTAATATATAATTGAAGAGTAGCTGACAAATAGAGTGTAATGGAACTACGATGGAATATGTTTGATTAGAAAGCAAATAAAAAGCAGAAAATTTAAGTACCACAATGTCTATTTTATCCTTCTATCTATCCTAAGTCAAAAACTTGAGATCCAATACATATGTATGGCAGCTAAGCCACAATGCGGCAAAATAGCAAAGATTCATTTACAATTTTCTGTTTAAAAAATTTGATTCTCTTTCAATTCCAAAATGAAATAAACACTACATATGATGTGTGATACATATATATGTACGTATATATAAATTATTATTGCTCTTATGTCTTTACAATATGAAGCAGTTAATTTTTTTACTGGGGAGGGCCAGGGATTGAGCTTTATAGTATAATTCAACTTATTTTCCTACCAAACAGATGAAAATCATTTTCTTAATAGCAAAACTTCTTTTATATTTAGCATATAATGGGCAATACAGCACACAATGGGCCCTTTTTGATTCTGTTAAAAGTTGTAAGTCAAACAAATAAATGCAGATTTTGGGCTCTACCAGTACCACTGAACAAGTATAGTTTAAAGGTAAAGGACATACTTTCCGCAGTTGATCAATTAATTCCAGCTCTTCTTCTCTCTGTCTTGAATTCTGTCTTGTTATGGGATCTGCTGAATCAGTGGTAGATACAGAAGATGAAAGAACAGGTAAAGCATGACCTAAAAAAATATTAATATGTAAGATCGAAAGGCAATTGCCAAGTGCTGGAAAATACTTGGATCTGTCTGATCACACTATCCTTGCAAGTATAGCACTTTCTACTTTTGGATTGACTCTTAAAAAAAGTTTTTATTATGAAAACTTTCAAATATATACAGTAATAGGGAGAATGGCATTAAAAACTGCCAAATATCCATTGCTTGTCTGGCTCAACTACTTTTAGGCTCACATCCATTTAAAAATGTTTTCATTAAAAAATAACAAATACAAAAAATAAGCAACTCAGAAACAAATAGCTCAATAAGTTATCATTATAAAGAGGACAAAACCAAGTCAATAAACACAACATTACCAACTCCCAGAAGCTCCTCTCCTTCCTTCCCCATCAGTACCCAAAGATTACTTCTAACAACATTAGGTTTTAACCACGTGCTTCATGACTTCTAACACCACAGATTAGTTATCTCCATTTTTGAAGTTTCTACAAGTGAAACCATATTGTACGTATGTATGCTTTTGTGTCTGGCTTCTTTTGATCAACATTTTGTTTATAAAACGTATCCATATTTTCGTTAATTTTTTCATTTTCATTGCTTATATGGTATCCCATTGTACGAATATATCCAATTACTTATCCATCCTATTGTTGATAGACATTCAGTTTGGGGCTATTATGAATGATGTTGCTATGAATATTTTGTACATCTTTTGTTACACATGTACATATTTCAGAAAGCAAAACTGTTAGTCATAGGATATACAAATGCTCAAACATTAGTAGATAATGTAAACAGTTTTCCAAAGTAATTTACAATCCCACCAGCAATGTGTGTCTGGTTTGATTTAAAATCTCACTGTGAATACATCTATAAGTAAGATTAAAAGTAGTTATTTTGACTTGAAATGTTTTTTTCTGCTTCCAGGTAATTTCTTTGGGAGTCAAGTAGAAATCTGTCATATTAACTTAAAAATATGAGACTAAGTGTAAGAATACAGGAAACTGCTTTTATCAACAGAAAAATATGAAAGAGAGCTCATTACAGAGAGAAGGAATATTCTTTAAAAAGCTCTGAGTTTATTTATTCAAACAATGTAATCTATTTTTAGGTGGTACTAACAAACTTTCTAATTAAAACAAATTCAAACAAGATTCACCTGCTTTCACATTAGTGAGCTAACAAATGCAGAGTTTACAGCTTCTGCCAAGGTGACATCTCAGGGTAGAAGATTAAAAAAGCATGTAACAGTTAATGTCACTGTATAAAGCCTCCCCACCACTTTATTTAACAGTCACTACCACCTACCTTTGTTTGTTTCTGCCCTGATGGCTGCTCGGAAAAGGAAGCTCTCAGGGCGCTGGGGCTGGTTTCTCAGGAGACCAGCAGTGGGAAAGGAATATGCAGGGGAATGATGGACTGATTGGCACAGAAAAGCAAAGTAAGATTAAAGAAGGTGAAAAAATTAAATAAAACAACAGACACAAGTATCACAAAAGTTCAATGGTTAGCTGCACCTCTGGGTCTATTACCTGTTTCTGTTGTAGGTGAACTTGATATGGCATTAGATCTGTCATTATTCTGTGGCAAAACAGAGATATGTCAGTAAGTATTATTTGGGAAAAGATACTTTCTACATTTATGGTAACTTTGGGATTTTTATCTTTTAAAATAAAACTTTAATTTTGGGATATTAACTTTTATAATAAAAAAACATGCAACTCTCCTTCAAAATTAAGTCTAGAAATAAGAAATGGTGTACTAAATTAATTGTTTATTATCTTAAGACCAAACTTAATTTATATCTATAAAAAACAAAGTTTACATAATGCATTCCCTAAAGATAGTCCTATTATAGAACAGGCCTTTCCCTATGACTGTGAAAAATGATCATCCTAAGTCAGAAAATGTTATTGGGAAATGTGTAAGAGAGAATAAATTTTATTTTATAATAGTATTTTCCTGGTACAGTTTTTAAAGTATATTCCCCCCTCCGGAGAATAAATCTATGTTAACATATTAAGAATTAGAAAGAGTGAAGGTTTCTTTGTTTCAGTTAGGAAATCAGGTGTTTAAAGATGACAGATAGCTGTATTTCCACACTAATATTTGAGTCTAAGATGTTTTAAATTCATTGAACAAGGTACTATAAAAAGGAGGAAGAGCTAGCTCAACTGGTATAAAGTTTATCTAAAAAAAGAGAAATATAGTTAAAGTGAATTTGTAAGTGTCCACTATGGAAAACAGTATGGAGATTCCTGAAACAAATTAAAAACAGAAATACCATATGACCCACTAGTTCCACTTCTGGTAACTTACACAAAGAACAGAAAATCACTAATTTGAAAAGACATATATGCCCCTATGTTCACTGCAGCATTATTTACAAGCTGGGGAAGCAAACCAAATGCCCGCTGATAGATGAATGGAAAAAGAAGATATAGCGTGTATACACACACACACACACACACACACACACACACACACACACACACACACACACACGGAGTATTGCTCAGCTATAAAGAATGAAATGTTGACATTGATGACACACGGATGGACCAAGAGGGTATCATGTAAGTGAAATAATTCAGACAGAGAAGAACAAATACCATGATTTCCCTTACATGTGAAATATAAAATATAAAATATAAAACAAATGAACAAACAAAAAGACCAATAAACAGAGAACAAACTGGTGGTTGCCACAGGGAAGGGGTTGAGGAGATGGGTGAAACAAGTGAAAGGGACAGAAGTACAAACTTCCAATTATAAAATAGATAAATCATGGGGATGGGAAATACGTAATAGGGAATAGTCAATAAAGTTTATTATCTTTGTATGATGACAGAAACTATACTTATCATGGTGAGCATTTTGTAATGTATAGAATTGTTAAATCACTATGTTGTACACTTGAAACCAATATAATATTGTATATCACCTACAGTTCAATTAAAAAAATTATAAGTAAAAAAAAAATTTTTAAAGTGTTGGTTGATTGGGTTAAAGATATCAAAGATTTGGCAGGGGAGTAGAATAAAGAAAAGCTAGAACAATGTAGGCTTTGACTTCTAGTTATACTAATAACTAGTTAACTACTTAAACAAATTATAACTTTACAATATAACCAAGGTATCTTTTTGAACTAACAGAATGACTTTAAAACACAGACACACACATACATACATCTGTTCCCACGCATTTTTCTCCCTTTTAGTTTCAATATTTTCAGAAATCTTTTATCTCCATAGTTGGAGTTGGGGGCAGATAAAATTAATGGTGACAGGGAATTTTAACTGCTAAAATAAATAAACAGAAGCCATGCTGTTAAGAAAAGTCCTGGACTAATATGGAAGACAATTTTATAATAATGATTCCTTGGCTTAATACTCTTGGGTTGAGAATTAGGACTTAAAAAGTAAGCTGCACTCTTGAGTAAAGCAATGTTATTACATCTTTATTAGTGAAGAAGACAAACATGTTCATCTAGTTTATAGATGCCAATAAACTTAGTTTAAGATGTTGAGAAGAAATGGAAATTTAAATAACAAATTTCAAATAAAAGCAACAGGAACTAACAAAAGTAACGAAGAGGCAAATGAAGCAAAGCTGGATATCTTTATAAGGGAACAAGACCAACCTTTTTTCCAAGGAATATGAGACAGGAAGGAGAAAGCTAGTTTGCTAAACAGAGACCTATTCAAGGATAAATGATGTAAACAGAAAGTAGAGATCATTTCAGATACAGAGGAAAATTATTTTTTAATTTAAGAAGACCTGTTAGGAGTTAGACTAGAAATTTAATAAGCATATTAAGGAATAAAATGATAAAGTTAATAGGCAATGCTTAGGTAAGAAGGAAAAGCTGAAACAAATTCCTCTGAATCGCAGCAAAAGCTCTCTACTTCCACAAATATCAAAAGACAACACAGTTTGGTATAATGAAAAACAAATCCAGAATAAAGGGGACTTGTAAAATGATGATTTTTAAAATGTACTTTTATGAAACTATAAATTTAAGTTATTTGCATTCTAGGGTACAAAAATAATTAGTTAAAATCATTTTGAGGCCACTGGCTATATTTAAGAACTCTTGGAGAAATGGAGAGGAAAAAAAAAAGAAAATTGACATGAACTCAACTTTGAAGCCTCGTTTAAGCAACAAAAGAAATAAAATCATGCTTTAATGTAGTGTATACCTGCTGTAAAGCAACTGGGATACCAAAAACTAAATAGCAAATCTTTTTAAACTAACGATTTGACAGTGTAGCATATTTGATAGAAAGTCAACTCTCGGCACATTCAGAATGGGCCTTTCTCAACTATGATTCTGGGAGAGAATAATACCCAATGCCCTAAGGTATCTATTGAGTGAAATGAATTAACTTTCTCTTCTTTACATCTAGAATGGTACTAGTTATTTACTTTTTGAGAGAATTTTGAAAACAGTCCCTTAAATAATTTTCTGTGTTGTCTTTCAAATATAGAACTTAGATGAGAAAGGCTAGCAAGGGTTAACATAGAAAAGAATCATACATAACGTTTTTTCAAGAGTCACCCAAGTGTATACAGCATCTTCAATAACAACTAGGGAAAAGGTTTATCAAGTTTACAAATGTCATAAAGTTGGGGTCAGCATTTAAAAGATGATGCAAGAATTTGAAAGTATTCTGGTAGACAAGTAAAAATACTCAAAAAGCAAAATTAAGCATTTAGGAAAATAAAATATAGAAGATACAGAAATGATCATTTAGGAGTATAACTAAAACATTTGAGAATTACAGTGGATATGGAGCAAAATGAATACCAGGATGGAAAAAGCCAAGTTAATGCTCAGTCAGAAGTAAAAAACACTTGTTTCACACTCAGCACTAGGAGGGCTCTTTTGAGGAATGTATTTCAGTTGGGGATTGTGGAGGCAAAATGAAAGGCAGAGAACTTGTGAAAGTTCATTAAGGACTGACAGGCTAGGAAAGGCACGTAAAAGGACCACAGTTCATTTAGGAAGAAAACAAAGGGTGGCATCATAATACTTTTCAAACATAAACAGTCTTATATAAAGACTAACAAATAAGTCCACTCTGGAAACAAAAGTGCAAACCACAGGTGGGCAGTAAGACAAGGAGAGGACCTTCTTGGCAGTGACCATTATTAATCATTTCTCATGTTATCATATGGTAACAAATGGAATTACCATCTCTAGAGGCCTTCAAAAAATAAAATATCACAGGTTCTTTATTCAGGCTCGCATGCCATTCTGACACCTCACAACTATTCCAACTCTGCTAAGCTCGAAAAGCAGCCATAAGCAGTACATAAACAAATAGGAATGGCTGTGTGCCAATAAACCTGTTAGTAAAAATAGGCAGTCTAGGGGCCTACCTTGTTGACCCCTACTGTAAGAGGGTTTTGGTAGTGACAGTTTTGGGGACTAGGACTGATATTATTTTGCATGCACATTAGACAACAGAATCTAATATTATATATTAGTCAAAGTAAAATAATAACTTATGAGAAAAACAACATTTGATAAGAAAATCAGAATGACATTTCAAATAGAATCTCAATATAAAGAGGAAATGTAGGCTGCATGATTATTTCTGGCATGATAAAACTCTCAAAAACTTTCAAGTGCAATTAATGTTAAATCGTTTTATAAGCTTAGGTGTATTTCATGAAATCCTAGATTTCAGACTGCTCTTAGACCAAATCCATTGGAAATGAAGACCTCCCATATACACCCCTCCCCAAAGTTCCTAGTGGATCACATATACAAGAGATACCTTAGGAGGCATGAAGGCAGAAGAATGAGGCAGCGGAGCAGCACAGCCCACTTGGTTCAACCCTGACAGTGACTAAATTTCGTAAGAGAGAGAGAAGAAACAGAAGGCAGCATTTATATTAGCAAGATGTCAGGCAGACAGGCAGGCAGGCAGATCTGGTCAGTGAAATTAGAAAAGGAAAGGTTATCGACAAACTTTCAAATGGTTCATTTCCTATGATACTGATAGGGCAGAAAGAATTAAAACTATTACAATACTTCAAACCACATTAATCAGGGAGTAAAAGGCATGATTTATTAAAAATTATTTTATATGGAAATAAAACTGAGAATATCAAAATTTTTTAGCAAAATAGCCTTAGAAGCTAATGAGTCCCATGCTATTCCTATTGTAGGTAAAAGAAATCCAGCCAAAGAGCTCATTTTAACTGAGCAGAACTGGCATGACTAAGAACAATATTTTTTCAATGTTAATTCACATTAGATTTATTATAATTCAATTTAATGGCTCTTTTGTGAGATCAGACACGATAATTCTGCATCACACTCTAAAAATGAAGCAGCATCTCTTTTCGGACTCTCTGAAAGTCCAAATGACCTATATGAGGTAAGTGGAATTTTCCTTTTCTTTGAATCTTTTATCCTTTCACCAACCTATATACAACTAGTTATATATATTAGAGATATAATTAGAGATAGTAAGTGTTGGAATCCATTATACAGAATTTCGGTTACAGATAAAAGCTGCTCAAAACATGACAATTTTTTCATTTGTTAGGGAGTGGAAATCAGAGAA